ACTTGAATCTCTCTTGTTGAAAGGCAGCTTTCATCTCCATTTCCACATCAGAAGTTTGTATGGTTCCAAAGAGAAGTGGGGAGAGGGAGAGGAGAGGGAGAAGGTACATGTAGGAAGTGGCTTCCATCCATATGGCTGGGAACATCTGCAGGCTGAAGTCATGGTATGGGTTCAGCTCTTCCCCAGTCCTATTTTACTTCCTTTTTGTGAATTTGTCTTGGGAACAACCCAACTGTAAAGCACGTTTTGCTTCCAGTCTGGACATTGGTATATCATCTGCTTCTTATTCAGAGTACTACGGGATGATGTCTGTCTTATTCCTCAGCACTGAACTGGCAGAGGGAGAGGGAGAACAGAGAGGAAGGCCAGAAGCCTGAAGTCCATGTAAAGAGCCAGAAGTGAAGAATTCTAAGACTATTTGCAATGATGGTTTTTAATTCCAAAGAAATTTTGTCTTGCTGTCAGTTACATTGTGGACATTTTCATGCACCAATATGCTTGCTGTGTTTTGTTATTTAAATGAATTATTTCAAATTTTGATTGGCAATCACATAGTCTAGAGAACGTGGCTGTATGGGATTAAAGCCAAATGCTGGCACTCTGTCATACAGTGTATCACCACAGCAGGTGAGCAATTATCACCCAGAAATGTTCTGCCGCACGTATCTGATTACTTACATTAATTCTTTAACGTGAAATTATTATTGAAAATTGGCATCTAATTCATCTCATTGTGTTACAGAGGGAATCACACAGTTTACACATTCATAAAACGCTAGAAGCAGCTACATGAAAATTCTTGGTGCTGCATTTTTTCCCCATTTCTGTCATTTCACCTCTTACGGTACACAGAGATTTTCATTAAAATTGGCATATGTTCTGCATAATCTACAACAACAGATTGGACACTATACTTTAAAATGAATTTAGTATCTCCTCACTGTGATTTCGTGATTAAAATCCATAATTCTAGCCACAACGAAGTCAGGAAAGCTTTAGAATTCTCTGAGACTGCTGGGACAAATTAGTTGTGAGTAATAACTCCTGTTCAATGTCCTGTGCTAAAATCCTAAAGTACAACGGTACCATCTGGACTGTAACAACAAGTTAGTTTGTTAATGATAAGTAAAGGAGGTGTATAGGGACCTGTGCTGTCACAAGCAGTACAGCATGTTGATCACTGTAACAACAATGCGACTTCCATTGCTGATACAATTAAAGTTAATTAAGATACAGAAACAGGGATGATTATTTTCTCTCCGTAGCATTTTAACTGCCTGCAATTACTATATATACACCTGCATGAAATCATATGCATTTATACTATTTGGCCACCGGTAAAAAGACAATGTTCCTTAGCTTTGGTGTCCCCCTTTGATAAGATCTCATCTTGTAGTCTTTGCAATAGCAAAGTGCACATGTGAGGAGGGGAAGACTAAAAATAAAAAGACACTGGTTCAACACTTGTACCTCCTAAGTACACATGTAATACTCTAACATAACTATTCTTCTGACATCTTAAAAAAATACTGGAACTAGAATGCAGAATCCCTTTCCATACGGGGCAGGTGTTTAGCTTGGCAGAACCTGGGACTTTGGAAGCAGTTACCTCCAGGCAGGTGCCACAGGAGAATTTGCCACCCTCAGTACCTCCTGTCATGTCTTTATAGAGAAAACCATCCCCTCCTTACTATCCGCTCTGACTAACGATGAAAAATGCCACCGATGACAACTTCACGTTTTTTCCCCCCAACCAAATGGCTGAAGTCTGCAGTAAGAATAATTCAATGTGACAGCTTATCTTTTTGCCCAGTGGGGGTCTTCAACTGAAGTGCGGCTACGAAAGCAATTTACATGTTGATGATGACTGAAGCCTTTATGATTCAGAGCCAAACAAGTTAAAAAAAGCAGGAGGATCCCAGTATCACAGCCACAAGTATCTTCCCATTTCAAAGGAAATGAAATTAAGATAATATATAGCACACATGGTACTTAGATCCTCTAAAAGAAAGCCACGTATAAAAGTGTTATATAGTGGCATATCATAACAGAAGTGCTTGTAAACTCTTATTTGCAGATGTTAATAAGACAGCCATGAAAATCCAGTCAAATCTAAAGCTTGGCATTACTACTTCTTAGTCGAAGGGTTCGTTTTAAAGTGCAAACTACAAAGAAATAAACTTGGTCATGGGAAAACAACAAACTAGATTACATCTCAATCCTTAAAAAAAACAAAACCAACCCTAAGAAAATTCTTTGGATACTACACTAATTTCCTATGATTATACAATTGTTACTCTGCTTGCAATACAATCTTCCAGTGCTTAGAAAGCATAAATGTAAGACATATATTTTAGTTTATATAATGAGGATGATATCAGGGTCCAAGGTGGCAGAAGACAGAAAAAGAGTGAGAATATATTTTCTTATCTAAAGAAAACATACATACATAAATATATATAGAACACTGTTATTTATATTAAAATATATTTTAAATACAAATGTTAAAAAATATATAAAATAAATCCAATATATATTACATGTAAAATATATAAGGCATAATAATATTTTAATATAGTAAAAGGTATTTCATATAATATCATGTATGGCATATGGCATTATATTATAGTATATGAAATATTTGAATATCTATTATTATATGTTATAAAAAGAAATACCTTATAAATAGTGACTTCTGTATGAAGTTCACTTGGAAAGTAAGCTGCTTGACATATAGGAGGCTTTAAGTCTTATTTTTCAAAAACGCATTGTAAAGCTCTGATTCTAATTAATTGTAATTACATTGTAATACATTGAAAAAGCCTAATTCTGATTAACTTCACTATGATGATGGAATTATTTCTAATAGACGCTGGCATAAGTGGGATCAATACAAACTGTCACAGAAGCTCAGATTTACCCACTGGGGAAAAAGCAGAGACTTAATTAGATGTACCCTCACATCCTTTCTTCCAAGTCAGTTTACATTTCCAAAAACAAATATTCAAAATAAAACTAAGCAATTCAAACTACAAAATACTAACCACAAGAGGCCTTTCTAATTCCAGTTGTATGTGAGAAGACAGAACAAACTTCTTCCCTATGACAGCAGCTCTTCACTTCCTCTTTTCACTCCATGGGTCCATGAGATGCAGCAATCTGAAGTGGCCTGACATGCCAGAACAACTCGCTGGTACGCCACAAAGCATGCTCCTTAACACTGACATTGCTAAAATGGTATACTGGGTCTGGCTGGGATGAAGTCACTAAGTTAACCGTCTTCATAGCAGCCCATGTGGTGCTGTGCTTCGCAGCGTGGCTAAACCAGTGTTGGTAACACACCACTGTTCTGGCTGCTGCTGAACAGGGCTTGCACAGCATCAAGGCTTACTCTCCACATCCTCCCCCATGAACGCCAGGAGGATGGGGGTGAGCAAGAGATTAGGAGGGGACACAGCTCGGACAGCTGACCCAAACTGACAATAGGAATATCCCATACTATCCAATGTCATGCTCAACAATAAAAACTCAGGAAATGGAGGAGGAAGGGGAGATGTTTAGGGCTGTGGAATTTCTCTTCCCAAATAGCCATTACACGTGCTGAGGCCCTGTTTCCCAGGAATCGGCTGGACATCTGCCTGCTGATGCAAAGTACTGAATGAATTCCTCTTTTTGCTTTGCTTGCATGTGCAGCTTTGCTTTTCTTATTGAACTGCCACCTTAATCCATGAGTCTTTTCGCCTTCCTTTTATTTTTCTCCCCATCTCCTGGGATAGCGGAGTGAGCAAAAGGTAGGGCGAGTGTTTGGCTGCTGGCCACGGTCAACCCACCACAACTTGTTTAGTGCAAACTGGTGTCTACATTTTAGGAAGAGAAGGCATTTTGTGAGACCAAAGCAGCATGTCATATTTTGGTTTTCTCACAGCAGCATTTATCTCTTTGAGAATCTCTTAACTTACAGTAGGAAATTAAAAGCACATGCATTTCTTTACCATAACTATGCAGATCTTTGCTGATGATATCCAGAGTCACTCAGCCTGTAGAATCTCCATCCTTGGAGATACTCAAAAGTTGACTGGATGTGGCCCTGAACCACATGACATAGCTTTGAAGTTGGCCCTGTGTTGAGCAGGGCTTGGACCACATGAACTCCAGCGGTTGCTTGTTACCTGAATTATTCTAGCGTTCTATGATCTTGTAATCTTTGCTTCTTTCAAAGCAGAATTCTAAAAAGCCATTTTCAGCTTTCCAGCAGACTTGCAATGGGTTTAATATGGAGGTAATTTTCATGATAAGCCAAGCTGCCTGCATTCAGGACTTGGGCTACTTGCTCTTTCCATGTCTTTCCTAATATTTTCTTTTTTCACAACAAAGAAGAAACTAATCATCAGGAGCAACATAAATTAACACAGGTAAGAGGTTGAAAAGGTTGCTCAAAGCAAAAGCCTGCCATAATTCTGAATTACTCTTCTCAGTCTGGAAAAAAAAATGCACTAAGCATTATTTTAATGAAGTTTCAGCATTTATTACATGCACAGTTGTGCAAGCATGTGGACCTATTTTAGTTCTCTGAGGAATTCAGAAGTGAAGCCAGAAGGCACCGAAGCCAGGAAACACAACTTCTAGTTGCAAAAAGACCTCCTCAACAGTCATCTAAGAAACAGACAAAATGTATGACTTTTCGGGAGAGTTCCCTCTATTCAAGGCAGCCACATTATCGACCCGTGGGCTGAATTTGACTTACAAAAGCTTTTCAGCTCCTCCTCTGCCTGAGAGTGGGGAGATTGGAGATAGGCTTTCCACAGCACCCTGCACAATCTACAACTTAAAGCCATCATCTCCATCATCTAAGCATGGTTCCCACTGCTTAAAAAGGCAGGACTGCCTTGACGTGATCACTGGCAGTGTCAGAACCACCTTTTCTATATCACTATATATTTTCAGAATACGTAGGACATGGATCAGTGTATCAGAGTATCAGTGATGTCTCCACAACTTACCTGTCAATAATGGCACACATGTCAATGGTGACATTGGCAAAGCTTCCCAGCTGGCCTTGCTCCACTGCGTGCAAATCCACCAGCTGATCATCCACGTGAATAAACTGCATGCATCCTTGAAATGAATGCTGAAATAGCGAGTGATCTGAGTCATTCATCTGTACAGGAAACCCTGTGGAGCAGCAGAATAAAGAGCATTGTTAACTTCATATACTATTACTCAAGCCAGTATTTCTTCACAGGAAAAGACATGTTTTCTAGATGGGAGAAGAAAAAGGCAAGGCGCGAAGGAAATATTATGAAGTTATTAGATTACATTGCAATGTTATTCATTTCAGTCATCATTGGCAACTACCTGCAAGAATTTATATGGTACAGCTGATGATTCTTTCATTAATTTTTGTGTACAGGATGAAAGTCTTCTGCTACCCTTCTCTTCCCCCAGCCCTCTATTACTGTTTCTCATTACTTCTCACTTCATACAAAGATTAAAGGAACAGGAAAAGCATTGACCTCCTTGCTATGTTTTAGGAATCACACTCCCGTTTCTCAGATTTTTCTGAGAAAAACGTATTCCCTGTATTCCATGATGTGAACTTCCAGTTCAGCTTTCTCTAGAACAAGGCTTCTGGGGCGATGAATACTTGTGCTGGAAACTTTCTGCAAACTTAAACCTAGGCCTAAAATCTAATGTCCTGGCCCACTTCTGAGGAATCTGAAGACATTCTTAGTATTCTCATTTTCACTCTGAATATGTTCATTTGCCTGTCTTTCTGAAGGTGGTTTATAAGAGATGAGAATGAATTTGTCTTGACTCAGGCTAAAAGGCAGGGAGACAGAGGATATTTATATGTAATTGTTTAACTGAATGCCCTTCAGAAGTGAATGTGTCAATTTACTTGAGAAAAATGTCCTTGATAAGACAGTGGAGAGCCTCATTCACTACTTATAAATCTTTAACAATGAACTTCCTGAAAAAGCTTCAAGAAAATAATTTAGATAGAATCTGTTTAAGATGAGAGCAGGAAGGAAGACAGAGGGGCTAACAACAGTTTATTGGTAAAGAAGGTAAGAAGTCTGGAAAATGCATAATGGTTTTGCAGATTTCAGCTAGGAAGATGACTAGCCATGCAGTTCTTGACTGACAAGGGTAAAAAAACCACACACATTTGTTTTGGTAGCTGAGACAGATTGTACAGCTCCCATTCCATCTCCCACTTTCCTACCTAACTTCCGATCCCCAGTGCCTTACTGCCTTCTTCAATAGCATGGAAACAGCTATTTGTGGAGACAGAAGAATAACAGATTCTCAAACCAATAGTGTTTGAATAGCACCAGGAAAAGGGAATTAATGTAATTTTAAATTCTGTTCCTGAATACAGTTTATCACATGCCACACAAATAGTTGGATTGGCTAAAAGAATAGAGGGCAGAAACAAGCAACTGGGGCTTGAGGACAGATGCTGCTTAATGTGGCACCTATTACTAAAAAAACCCCAGATATATGTAAGTCTTTCCCAAAATATAATTAAGACCCATTTTAACTGAAAGGCTTTGCCAGAACATTCATATGACCAGTAATGTTTTTTAAAATTGTCTAAAACAGTCTTACGCATCAGCTAAAATTACTGCTGGTAGCTCCTAAATTTCCTTGACTCACTTCAGTAAGCACTGACTTCAGAGTTCACTGGTAGCACCACAGAATTAATCAGGGATGTTATAGCAATTAAGCAGTGACCATGCTAAAAGTTAGCCCTGACCGGTATTTCAAGAAATTGGGCAAAGGCTTGTCTTGAGGTCATATCACCTTTGGAGCAAAATTGTGACACTATCACAGGCAGCCATAAACTCCTGAGAAAGATAAATAACGCCCTCACACTAATACATATCAGATGGAGAAGGAAAAACTCCTAAAGTCCCCCAGTTGCCTAACTAGTGCATAATAACCTCAACAGACCAACTGCCCCCTACCAAAACTGTGCTAATCCGAGACTGTGGGAATTGTTATTTTGGATTGGCAGAAAAGTCAAGTACAGAGAGACAGAAAGTGCAAGTTAATTCTCTGTTGTTTGGTGGATGCAAGCACAATATTTGCATGTTCCTATCAGGTGCTTACTCCAATTATATTTAAACAGCTCACTCTTCCAGTATAATTGTCTGTTTTTCAAACTGCCATAGAAACTACCCTGTAACTCCTTCTCAGCAAGAACCCCAAACCAACACCAAGCACGTGGTCATTTAGATCTTCAGCGCATTAGCAGAGCTGTGCAGGAAGCCTGTGTATCATCTTCCTGTTCAAAGCACTTCCACAATTGCTTTGTTTTAAATATTAAATTCAAGGTTACCAACACTGAGGTAAACTCTTAGTAACATTCATGTAAACCCAGCAAAGCCAAGGACATTACATGGATATATCTGAATGTAATGAAAGATTATCCACCATCCTTTAAGCACTAACTGAAAAATAAGATCAAAACCTAGAGCCACAATTCACTCTTCACATCAAAAAGAGTATGGTCCGAATAACTAAGCCACAAATGTATGATTAGATTCAGCAATATATTCCAACAAATTACTACCAACATTTGCGAGCATTTGAGAACTAACCACAGAGGCATTTCACTACGTGATTCTCAGCTTCTCTGCATCTAAGTATCACTTCTTGACCTACACTATAAGAGCACACAGTTGTTATTGGTCTCTGGGACACGTTCTGCACTTTGCTACTGGCTGAACCTGCCAACAGGAAAGTGGCAGCTGGGTCCATCAGCCTGGGCAGAGACCCCAGGTCCCTGGGTCCCCAGGCTGGGCTCCACTGGCTGGGGTAGGAGGGAGTCGTAGGCTGGAGCAGCTGGAGGTGGCGGCCACTCCTAACCTAACTACATAAATCAAGCTTTCCTCTATTACCCAAGAGAGTGGTGTATACTGAGCATTAGTCAGTTTGGGATTCTGAATTTTGCTCTCTCTGTCAATGGATGAAGACTATAATTTGCTCACTCGTATGCCTTTGTTGCCTGTCTTCCTGCTACTCCCTTTGCTGTTTCTAGTCATGCAAGGAACTGGAGGAGGAAGGGGTTTTATGCACTCGTACAGCACCTTGCATAAATTGTCTGTGAGGCTGACTGCGTGTCAAGTCATTTCAGTCATGCTATTACTGTAACAGATAGTTACGCGAAGAGACAATTTAAAAAAAAAAAATCACTATCCACAGGGAATGGAAGAATGGTTGTTTTTTTGAACTATATGCTTCTCACAAACCAACCTGCTCTAACACCGATTTTTTTCTGTTTAAAATTGTTGCCACAGCTTAGACAAATTTTACAGAATGCAGTTAATAAACATACTGTTATATAAAGAGTTTAGCACATGGGAAAGCAACTAGATAAGCCTTGTATATAACACCTACATTGTTTTTGAACTATTAGGTATACAGTCTAATGCCCATTAATTCTGGTGGGACCTGGACATTTTAGACAAATCCAGTCTGAGTCATCTGGGGCAAAGCTTCTGCCTCAAATGTAAACCTGGAAATGACCTAGCACCTTGCGGTTGTTATTTCAATACACAGGACAGTGCCTTCCCCTTCCAGATTTCCATTATTGAGACATGATTCACTTCCTCATCCTTCCTACAGTGAATGAAATTTTAATCAAATGAACTTCTATAACCAAGGCTGACAGTAATGCTGTCACTAGAAAGGCTAAATAATGGATGAACAATTTGGACAGGACTGTATTGATCTTCTTGCTGACAAGAAAATATGTACATTTTCAAAATGCACATAAAATGCAGTTTGGACAGTTTAAAACAATGTTCACGCTTATGATTGATTACAAATGCACCTTTAAGTCAGGTAGACTCCCTTATCCTGTAATTTCTACATCTTTCTGACTTTCTCTGTACAAAATCTGAATCTTACCATTTTATTTATTTTTCACATTTTAAGCCCACAAAGAGATGGATTATCCTGCAAAGGTCAGACATGGGTTGAATCTGAATTTTCCCCAGAGTTCAAGGAAATTTCTTTCCAGGACTTCATTCTGACCTACCAAATACGGAACAGCCAAAATTCGAGATCCGGCTCCTGATCTTAATTAAAACTTGCAAGAAAAATTAGAAAATCTATAGTTTTGATTCATGCTATTTTCGATGTTAGAAGTCACTTTAATATAAAATAAATATAATAAATAAATTCTAATAGGTATAATAAAATACCTATGAAATAAAACAATATTTCTTTTCCACTGTCAAGATCTATTATGTCTCTCTTCCAATCACCTGAATAAGGTTCTATCAAAGACATAAGAAAGAAAGGAAGTTGAAGGAAGAATACATTCAGGTTCGTGGTATAAAAGAACATACAGTCAGAGCATGTCATTAAACATCTGATGCACTACTTGTTTCTGAGATCTGACCTAAGAATGAAATATCATACTAGACTCTGAATATACAATTAGAAATTATTTTGTATCCCCATGTGAAACACTCAGATTTTCTCTGAAATGTAATGCAAATTCTATTGTGACAAGAAGACAGTTTTTCTCCACAGCTTGTTGGAACACCTCATCATTATATTTTTATTTTTGCCTTTTGTTTTATTTGTAAGTTAATGATGGGCTGATATTTGTATACAGATGGTACCTGGTATTTTATTTCTTTAAATGAAAAAATACACCTCATTTAAAAAAAAAGTAACTATTATCTTAGATAACTAACTGGTAGTCCATATTGTCTTCAACTAGTCGCATGGGTAGCTGCAGAATCCAGTAATCAATAGAAAAAGTGACTGATCTCAAGTCTGACAGGGATTTTTATCTGCATGGTATTTCAAGTGTACATCCTGGATCCTTGCTATGCAGAATGAGAAGAAGGAAACAAAATTCTGTATTTGTCAGGATAAATAGCAGCACAGTATCGTTCAAGGATCAAGTAATCTTCAAATTTTGTATATATATCGTACAGAGTTAAAAGATGTTATTCTGAACCCACAGAACAAAACTCAAATTCAGTCCATAACAATGCACTTAGATTGAAGATATAGCTGGTGTTTCATATGTTAATAAACAGGAAAAGACGCTAAAAGAAAAGCTCAATACACCTACCAACCCAAATTCACTGTAGTATTTTTATGCTTGTTGCAGTCAGACCAGAATGGGGCCCTTAGTGTGAAGT